ATTTTTTCGCAGAACTATTTCAAATAACAAGGAGATTCGTTTTAGCGAAAAAAAATTTTTGGGGTTAGGTGCACTTTAACAGAAATACATGTAGAGGATGAGGCCATTTTCCAAGCATCTTAGTTTTTATTAATCAATTTAGAACCTAATGACAGAAAATTAAAATTACACAGGTTAGGGAACACGATGGCCATATAAAATTTGTTGATCAAGTTTTTCCTTGGTGCATCATTCCTCTTTTTTGCCACTCTGATACAGAGCCCTGTAAACTCTACAGTCACGTAAAACACTATTTTCAGGTTTGCATTATCTACATGTACATGTACAAGGCTGGTGCAAAAAGAAAAGGGACTTAGAAGATCAAGTTTACTGAAAGGAACCAAAGAGAGAGTTTCAGGCATGAATCCTTCAAGTGTTATTTTTTGGCACTGCCTCAGATTGCAAGGCAATTAATTTAAAACTGGTTGCGATTTAAGTTTCTAAGCTGTAGATGAATGATGAATCTTTGAATATTTTGCATGCAAATTACTGGTTGTCATTTTTCTTGCTGTTCTTTGACACTAACTGTACAAGGTCTAGACAGATGGGGATTGGGAGTCGCTTGGGAATGGAATCTGTAGCCTGGCCAACTTTCAACATTTTAGGATGAAAAATCATTTAATAACACAATTTAATTCATCAGAGTCTGCTAACCTGGTGTTCAAATAGGGTTTCACGACATTCTCCAGAGCCTCAGTACAAGTATTTAATCCTGCAGGACTTGTCTGCTCCCAGTAACTTGGTCTTGATCCACATAACTGTGTATGGTGGACAGCTGGCACATAACTGTGTACTGAACCTCTCTGTCAAAAATTGTTTCATAAAATTAAAAAAAAAAATGCACAACATAGAAAATCACCAGCATTACTCGCCATCATGTCAAGTTTCTCAAAAAAGCTAAAAAGCTGTCCCACCTAATTACATGTAAGCCTGTGATAAATACACATGTTCAGTGAGTGTTTGCTTTTCCAACTAAAGATAATAACATCCTCCAATTAGTGAGAACTACAAAAATTAATAATTAAACTTTACAATTCCTTTCTACCCTAAGCAGGAGGCAAAACCTGGAGAAAAAGCTACATTGTGTACAATGTAGCAAGCAAGATAAACAAGAATAACAAACTACAATGTAGGTTTCTTGCTTTAAACATAACTCTACAGCTTGTTCAGTCTATGTTAATACAGACATTGAGACTACATGTGATCATTATTAATGAGGGTTTGTTTAAAATATTTTGGCACAGATTCTTAAATTAGTATATATGTAACAGATGTTTTGTAAATGGCTGAATGAAAGAAAAATAAAATCTGTAATCCCAGTACTCAATCTGCCATGGTAAAATATCTAGTCTACTTAACATGTACCTGGGTAGGCTTGATCACCAGCCACTGTTTGGGAAAGGAGCCCGCACATCTCTCCTGACCTCTCAGGGAGGATGCTCAAGGACCAGACCTGAGAAAATGGCTTGAGTAGAGCCTAAGACCAGGGTATCTACATAATTATGTACTTTGCACCTGCAAGTAAGTACTGTACATTGATAACTGTGTACTTACTTGATATAAGGAAGAATGCTCCATGTCAACAAGGCAGGACGTCACTTCATCAGTCTCACAAACAAGCCGTGTCACTTGAAAGTAAACTGAAAGATTTCTCTTGCCTTGGTCATCAGTTGAACTGGGCCGTTTCCTAGCATCACCATTTTCTTGCCAGTTGTGAGATACATAAAATATATCCCCAACTGTTAGCACTCTTGGTACTTTGAAATGTGTCTCCAGTGCGTGATCAAAAGAATCTCCAGCTTTACAATGTGGTGAATGAACCAGGGAAATGTGAGCTTCTGTTGCAAATGGTGGCTTGCCACTTTTGCTTGCAGTGCTTGCATCTGCTTCAATCTGCCCTTTGTCAGAAATTGCGTGAATATAGATACTAGGACTTGTAGCATCATACGAGGTGCTCTGGTGAAATAAATTGAAGTGAAGCACAGATGTGATATATCCAACTCCATGTTGAATTTCACTGCAGTTTATAAATGGAATGAAACTGTCCCTGATAGGACTGTTCATGTAAGCCTCAGGTTCAGTCTTAGAAGTAGCTGCTACAACTTGAACAATATGACATTTGCTTATGTCACAAGGGTCTTGATTGAGTGCTTCATGTACATCTGGACAGTGTACCTCCCGTTTGTTAACACCAACTGCATCTGCATGATCTGTGCATATTTTGACCCAACTTCCATTAAACAAGCACAAATCAATCAAGGTTGCCAGTGATACATAAAGCCTACTATTTGCATCACAAGTCGAATCTGCATCATTTTTTATATCCCAGTCAAAAACTTGAACTTTTAACTGGTGACTTCTTCTAACCGAGCCACCTTCAGACAAGTCATGTGATCTTTCTTGTGAAAGACTCCAAGGAAGATTGCGAGCAAAATCAGAGACCAGAAACATGTCAGAGGAATCAGACCGATTTATTCCTGCCTTTGTACCACTGCTTTCAGAGCCCGAAGAAATAGCGAATTCATCTAACTTAGAGACTACTAAAGATGTTTCTGAGGTGATAGAGCCTCGCAACACTGGCTCACACTGCAACACAGAGAACTGAAACCATTGTTTTCCCTTGCTGTCGGTTGAAATTTCATACTGGTCTTTAGGAAGGTAGAAAACATCATTTTCACGTAGTATTACAGGTCCTGCCGAGATGCTATCACGAAGACACGGTGCTAAGAATTTCTTTGCCCACAAAAATCTATCTTCTAGCAAAGTTCCAATCACAATTCTTTCAAGTGGAACAGGATTCGCCTTTTTGACCCAGACAGTTTCACCAACGTGAATTTCGTGATCGTTAAGGACGTTTTCTAAAATAAAAACCTTTAAATTGTCATTGGGCGATCGAATGTTTAAGTCTGTTTCTTTGCAAGCACTTACGTTTAAAATCAAGTCTTTCTTTGGAGTCAAATATTGGAGGTCAGTTCTGAGCGCTAAGGCAAACCTTTTTCCTGTTTCTTGCACAAACATTGAATCATCATAACTTAAAGAAATAACTCCTTCCAGGAAAGGAAGATCAGAGCCGCAAAACGAGATAAAATCCTCCTTGGAAATCGAGCAAATAACACCTCTTTGGTATTCGCCGTTCGCCATATTTTCCCTCTCAGCTACGTCACCTGGCCTTTGGGCTGGCAAGGCGAGGCTACCATTCTGATATACATCACTTCAGGGTCCCTGTGACTTGTGTTTACAAGAAAGCATTTTAGGACAACATTGCAATGAATCGGACGACATCGCCTAGGTTATCGTCTACTGGAAGCAGTTTGTCCTCAACTGTACGATCTATTGGCTTGATCAGACACTCGTAGCTGTAGAGACCGTTTCTTATGTAACCTTTTGAACACGTGCACAATGTCTGAAAATAATTTACAGAAGGAACAAGTCGAAGAGCCGTTGCTTCAGGACAATCCCAACAGATTTGTCTTGTTTCCACTAAAGTTCCCTGACATATGGAAATTCTACAAGAAATCTGTGGCATCCTTTTGGACGGTCGAAGAAGTGGACCTGGGAAATGACTTAGTCGATTGGGAAAAACTGAACTCTCAAGAAAAACAGTTCATTTCACATGTTCTGGCGTTCTTCGCAGCCAGTGATGGCATAGTTGGAGAGAACTTGGTCGAAAGGTTCTATCGGGAGATACAAGTTCCCGAGGCAAGATGTTTCTACGGATTTCAAATCGCCATGGAAAACATTCACTCCGAAATGTACTGTCTGTTAATTGACACTTACATCAGGGACCCAGGAGAGAAGGAGAAGGTTTTCAATGCTATTGAAACTTTCCCCTGTGTTAAAAAAAAGGCACAGTGGGCATTTAAATGGATGGATAAAAGTTCTACAGCTACTTTTGGTGAAAGAGTTGTTGCGTTTGCGGCTGTCGAGGGGATATTCTTCTCTGGTGCGTTTGCATCAATTTTTTGGATCAAGAAAAGAGGCCTAATGCCTGGTCTGACATTTTCTAATGAGTTGATTTCCAGGGACGAAGGCCTTCACTGTGATTTTGCATGCCTGATTTTTTCGCATTTAAGGCAGAGGCCAAGCGGAGAACGGGTTAGCGAGATTGTATGTGATGCGGTTGCCATAGAGAAAGAATTCTGGATAGGGGCCTTACCGTGTCGTTTGTTGGGTATCAATTGCCACTCCATGGCAGAGTACATTGAGTTTGTTGCCGACAGGCTGTTGGTGGCATTGGGACTTGAAAAGTATTATAAAACGAAAAATCCTTTCCCATTTATGGAAAACATTTCTTTGGAAGGCAAAGCTAATTTTTATGAGCGGAAAGTTTCAGAGTATCAAAAAAGTGGAGTCATGAATGAGAGATGGGAAAATTTTGTATTCACCCTTGATGCTGATTTTTAGTAAGCAGGTGTTTATATAATGTGAACACTAGCCCTATCTCAAATTCACTCATGAAAACCCGTCATGTTATAGCGTGTTTTCAAATGATGTCAGGAGCAGGAATTGCGTCGTGGTGAGAACGCTTGCCTGCCATCAAAGTAGCCTGGCAGGTTTTATTTCAACCCTGTGTCATGTGTGGTTTGAGTTTGTTGTTGGTTCTCCCCTTGCTCTGAGAGTTTTTCTCCAGGTTCTCCAGTTTTCCTCCCTCGACAAAAACCAACCTGACCAATTTCCAATTCAACCTGAATAGACCTGCATGAAAACCAGCTAAGGGCTGATGTGACTTCCTCTCTAAGTATTGTAATTTATATATTATTTATTGATGTCAAAGCAGTCACATTGGTGTCATAAAACAATGGAACCTGAGTCCTGCACATTGGTGTAGCAAACCAATCCTGTGAGAGTTGAGCTCTTTTCTTGTGTAAACACTTTCTTTTATTTCAATAAATTTTCACAGCCTCTGGCCACATGAGTGTGTAATAAGGTCTCTCTCTATAACTTTTATAAGGGCAGATTCACCAATTTAAAAAGCTAGTTTGTGAGATAAAGAAGTGCCCTTCTTCTCTTTTCCTTTCCCTTTCCTACCTTAATTCTTTTCCCGTGAAGTTACTGTGTGCAGGCTAAAGAGAAAAAAAAAAAAATCATTGATTGCATTAACTGGGAGGATAAAAATCAAATGCAGCAATCCAAAGTAGAAAAAAAAAAAAAAGAAAAGAAAAAAGAAAGGAAACGAAACGTGAGAAAATTGCAGTAGGAAAAGTCCTAGTAACGCAGTGGTTAACCCTTACCCTACCCTAAACGGAAACATTTATCTCCCTCTCCTTAGTGCCCAGTTTCCCAGAGCGGGATTTTCAAAATGGCGGAAGACTCAGTCGTCTGCGTGAGCTTCGATGGAATATTGGAGCCAGCGAGCCCGTCATTGCAGAATTGTATCAAATTTTCAAAGAGTGGAAGATACTTAAGTGCCTTGTGTGACTTTGGAGTTGTCTCTATTTGCCAGTTGACAGGTACATTAGGAGTAAATTTCGGAAACAAAATTAGAGTTTCCTGAATACGTGACCTCATTAATTGCATCCCGACAAAATGTTGTAGAGTAACCTGGACTTGGCATTGAGGAAGGGTTAGGCCCGAAACGTCTCCTATAAACATCGTTTTTAATTTGGCACTGCGTTATTACTATTTACAACTTTTCAACTGTTCACTGCACGCCACGCAGCAGATTACTGATCCGCACAGTTGAGGCGCATTGGGCTACTGTCCCATCTACGGAGAGTAGCAGCTCTCAAGGTTGCTGGAACTATTTTCTCCCAATTGAATATAGCTTGCTCATGAGTAGGCAAGATGACCCAAATTTATCCTGCACTGTGATTGGCTACCCGAGCAGGCCAGGGGCTACAGTATCTTGCCCACTTGGGGTTGCCCTATACATCGCACAAGGAAACAGTGTGCTATATGTCCTGTAAATCCTTTTTGGACCAATTAAAGCTTGCTTAGTCAAAATGGCGTGATATAATTTTGCCTCTTGGTCCATACACATGCAAAAGAAAAAGATCTTGACTTGCCAAATTGACCAATATTCAGTGGTCTTGACCTTATGCTTTGTCAGTAATCCATATGTGTCACAAATACATTTTTTTTTTACTTTAAATACAAATATATTATGAAGTCCATTAATATAGCTGCATAACCAGGTCTATTTGCTTATCTGAGCCACAAGCTTACAGCTACATACGTTTAGGAACCACTGTGTGACAGATGTAGAATCTGTGCAAGCAACTATGGGTATAACGATTAATTGAATTCTTGATTAATCGTAATTATGAAAGTTTGGTCAATTCACAATTCTTTGATTCCACGTTTCGATTTTGGTTCGATTTTTTGCATACCTTTCCCAGAGTGTTCTCAGTGAGTTATTGTATTGTGAAATCAGAATCCAGAACTCTTTGAAATGTGCACTTTTGATTAGAGAGTAAAGATGTTTACAGTTTGTGCACCATGTTGTGTTGCTTGGTAAAAATGTTGCCCTTCTACCACCCGTTGAGAATTTCTAAATAAGGCAAACCACGTGCGACACCTCCATTGTATCCTCAAATTAAGGGTTTAGATTACATTTGTGTATCATGTTGTAAGAATTAAAAACATTAATATTTTGCATAATCCAATTGAAATAATCAAAATCAAAAGGCAATAATCAAAATTGAATTGAATTACAAGGAATATGAATCGTACAAGCAACCAGGCTACAGGTACATTTTTATTCCAGTTCTTGCTAACAATATTTTTTTCTTCTTCTTATTCTTTTCTTTTGTTCCATGACATCCTAGAGGTTGGTGAAGACTTCAAGGTAGTCTTAGTTAAAAGACTCACATTTGGCAAAGGTGAACTTCTTGAGGGTCATGCCTGGTCCAGCGATGATCAAATATTTGCTGTAGCTGGATACAAGATTTATCTTTCTAAAGTAAGCATTATTTTGTCACAGAGTATTTTCTCACCCAAGAACCTATTTACCAATATTATTTCTCAATCTTACAGTACTTTCAAATGTTGTATATTCCTTATCAGGTCTGTCAGGGATTTACCAGTCTTTATACCATTCCCTTGTATTACATGCCAAAAGACATTTCCTTAATCTTGACTGATTGTTCTTCTCCACAAAAGGTAAGTGTTCTGTAGATTATTTTACATTAGTTTTAGATTGTAAGGAAAACGACCAATTTTTTAAGTTTGAAAGACATGTTTCGACAGAACTTCTGCCATCTTCCTTAAAATCTTTACATGTCTGCTGCTATCTACACATTAGTTTTAATTAATAATCATCATGCAAAATTTAATTTTTAATTAATAGTTAGCTCCCAGTCTGTGGTAGTCTTTTCAATTTATTTAGTCTTCAACAAAAACTGGAAGAAACAAAAGATATGTTAACATCCGATAAAAATTACTGTATACAGTAATTGCAGTGTATAATTTTGTTATTTTAAGTGGTGTACAAGATGCTGTTTTCTAGACTAAAACTACAAATTTGAACTAAAAATAAAACCAACTTTTGCAGCATGTATATTTTTCTTTTGGATTTTGCAGGTGTATAGTTTAGCTGTTGCTGGTCCAAATGGAGTTGAACTGTATCAAATGGAGATAGGAGACTTTAAAATGATAACTGTAAGTTCACTGCATTAAACAATGCCAAATATAATTGACCACCTTGTGATTGGTCAGTTCAAGTTTAAAATAGCTACATAAAGTCATTCACATGCGTTTTTAGAAAACAACACTCAAGGTAAATCACCTACTGGAAAGAGAGCACTAAATGAACAACTCAAGTACTCAACATGTTTCATTATAGCAAGGCATTTTTGATCTTGACTCCATACTGAAGCTTACTGAAGCTTATGATGTAAAGTGCACTTGATCATTTCATGGAAAGTCCCACTGTATAAAGTTTTAAACTTTTTATTATTACTCAATGCCCTCTTCTTTACATTAGGGTGGTTCCTCATCACTCCATTCAGATCTGGCCATTGCACTGGTTGAATTTTCCCCTGATGAACATTACCTAGCTGTGGTATGGTGTGTTAATATGTAGTTCAATTGCAATTTAAAAGAAAAAAAACTCCTGGATGAATTAAGCACCAGGGAATGAACTACTGACTTCAAATCTTATCGAAAGAACAGTTACACACTTACAATAAATGGTAATGTTGTTATAATATTTAAAAATAATTAGCTTGTTCAATTATTAAAATATAGTTTGTTAATTAAATGAGAAAGTCACTTTAAAAAGCTTACTTTTTCATTTCCACCTATAGTAAGTAAACACTCACCACAAAGTTTCAGCCTCTAAAGTGCCTGCTATCCTGAAAGAAATTCGTCTTGAAAGAAGCCCAAAATTTGACTTCGGAGGCTGCCATTTTGAAAAGTTCTGTACTTGGCAGCCAGGCTGTGTTTATGTGATGTCATTCTGTCCGACTCGAAATTGACGGAAAGCAGAGAAACCTGATTTACTGACTTGGCATCCTTCACAAGGTCAGCAAAATGTATTCTTTTCAACCGATTATCCACTTCACTATCTTCACTGCTATCATTTTCAGGGTTTGGAGCATGTTTGGCTTGAAATACTATGCCACAAGAGCAGCCATTACCCAGAGTGGTAGTTAAAAGGCTTGTCGGAAGCCATCAGAATGAAATCCCTTGGACAGAATGACATCATGAAAATGCAGCCTGGCTGCTGAGTACTGTTTAAAATGGTGGCAACTTTGTCTGATTTTGGGCTTCTTTGGAGATGAATTCAATAAGGAAAACCAGCACTTTAGAGGCTGAAACTTCGTTGGGTGGCTAAACTTAGTGCAAGGTTTTTATTAGCGTCGACCAAAAAATATGTTTTCTGTATTGACCTTCTTGTTTAAAAGCTACAATGTGCAATTCCAGAAAATATCCATGATACATGTACTTCCCCCACAGAAGGGATATTTGGAATTTCTGAGGGGACTGGGAGTTCTGTAAGACCAAAACATTTGAAGACATGGATGAAGCTTAACTGAAATTTCTGGAGATGGGTTCGGGGGGGACGGGGGGGGGGGGGGGGGGAAA